AATGTCATAAATAAATTTTATAGTCGAGTCACAGATTTATTGAATTTCCGCTCAAAATTATTTAAAATGATAATTTTAATTAAAAAATATGTTGCAACATGTCAATAGTGTGGCGAAATTTTAGCTCTTTTTAAATCGATTTATTGCTATTTATACTTTGTAACTAGGGCTAACGAACGGTACTGGCAGCAAAGAACCTCAGAAAAGTATTTCAAAATAGGTGACGTGCACACACACATTGCGGAAAATTCGACGGGCATGCTATAGTCAGAATTAAAACCTCTTTATGACTGACCTTGAGACTTGACTGAAAACATAGTGTCGTTGTTGTTCTGAAAGAAGTGATACAACATCACCAATACACAGAGCGTCAGCCATTCTTGTCTCCGGACCGACCATACATGCAAAGTACTATGCAGTACACTACAGACACGTGACGTGTTATTGCCAGCTACGTATGCGTTCAATAATTAACCTGTATTTATAAAGCCATCCACCTGTAAACACTCCACAAGCTATGAAAATATGTAAAATGCGGAAGTTTAGATTATAATTGCGTTTTTAAAGTGAACATTTTAGTTAGTTCCTTTTTCTGCCACAGTGTTTGTTCAATTTTGATTGATGGACTGATAACATTCGGCAATTCTCTGTAAGGGGATAATGTTTCTAGTTCCGAATGAAAACTACTTTATTAAAATTATTGTAATATCACTGTTTTAGGAGAGTTTAAAATACAAACATACATGTAATTGTAATAAAAATATAAACATTTCACTGAATACAGTTCATAAGGTAAAGTTTGTGGATCATGTTATTGTACATAATACGATTATTAGAGACGATATTTCACGGTAAATCGTTCACTACGGTTTGATGTGGAAGAAAGGAGTATCATGTCGCTCATCGACGTTACGTGGGATATCAACATTAGCTTAGTTTTATGCAATCCGGATGTCTTCAGTCAAACGTCCTAATAGTATCAAGTGTTTTATGATTAGTATGCATTTGCAAGCAAAACCAATCTCTAGAGCCTGATAAGCTGGGCTGATATGACAGTACTCAGATTTCAGTACCGAAATGGCACGTCGGTGGTTGCTACCCCGGTAGGTGGTAGTTGATTTACATCATCACTACGGCGACCTAGCAAGTAGGCTTCGTAAGAGCTGTTGCCAAAGTACAACCTCAATGTACCCAAGCAGGACCGTATATACTACAGTGACAACCCCAATTTATACATTAGAGGACAAGCATTAGTAAATGCGAAGATGAATTAATATCATTGGGTGAGCATTGAAGGGCGATAGTCGTCGCGCCACGCATGCGCGAGATATATGTGTCTCATTTAAATAAAGGTGGCGACTTTGACTGACAAACTGAGATGTCACCAAGCTTTACATGTAATTAGGTATTTTAGGTAACTGGAAGGTATCGAAAAAGTCACCGGCGGCAATTAGTGCAAGTCACGCCCATTTTCATTAGAATAGCCCATTGGATTGTGGGGAAATCAATGTTTATCCACACCAATGTCGCACATGCGCAGCGCGACGGCTACCGCTCTTTAAAGCTGCAGGCCAGCTTTGTCGGTTCCAATTTTTAAGGCTTTGTACACACTGATTTTTATGTTATTTTTTTTCAGAAGATGCTTTGGCCATACTAGTACATGCTAAATGTAAAATAGCAGGATAATCGGTTAAAGGATGCAAAAGACACTGCTCCAACTTGTTGCCATTTTTAAAACCCAAGATGGCGAACAAACAACTGACTGTTCAACATCATTTTATTTTCTTCACAATAAGCTTCGGCCATACATGCTACATGGAAAACAGCAAGTTGAACGATTAAAACATGTATGAAACACAAATCCTCTAATTTTTGGTCATTTTTTTAAAATCAAAGATGGCGCAGAAACCACGTGACTGTTCAACATCATTTTATTTTTCTCAATATAATCTTTAGGCATACATGCTAAAAGAAAATTAGAAAGTGTGTCACGTAAAGCACTCATGCGAAACAAATGCACCAAATGGTTGGTCCTTTTCACCGAAAATCAAAAATGGCGACCGAATCATGTGACTGACCAAAAATAATTTTTCCATTTTAATTTTTAGCGAAAATCCAAGATGGCGGCGAAAATACTTGTCTGATCCAAATTGTTTGTTTGCTAACCAAAGGAGTTCAGTATAAAGATGAAACATGGCAATTTTAGAAATTATCAGATGAATGTTGCATCTGTAAAAAAACTATTTCCTGCATAGAAGAAATCAAATATGGCACCAAATGCACGTGACCAATCACGAAGAGTTTCACACACGTGCACTTTAATAAACATCATAGCGAGCGCTGTATATGTGATGAGTATTGAATATCACATTTGTACGGCTGGCCGATGTGCGTCATTGCTTCTAATTACATATGTGTCCCGCCCTCATCCACTTGTCGCCAGGCAACCAAACACAAACAGGCTATCGGACCAATATTTCGGATCCGAAGTGGACGAAGGGGGAGCATAAATTTTTCCTCACAGTAT